ATAAATTGTACTTTTTTTTAATATTACACTAATAATCTAACTTCTTGTGTTTATAAAAATATTTTTAGAATATCTAAATTGTACAATTATGCAGTATTCAGATTGGTAAAGTGCATTTTCAATAATAATAAAATTATATATATATATATATATATATGAAAAAAAATTATAATAAGAAAAAATAAGAAAAACTAATTTTTATTAAAAATATTTGTTTATTTATTCTTCAAAACACAATGCACAAAACTCGGATAAAATAAACATATAAGAAAACCAAAAATATAAAAATTGAAAATAACATTTATTTTGTGTATTTTCTTTCTAATTACTAGACTTTCATACTAAGTTATGTATACATTTACTACTTTGATATAGATATAAGATTTAAAGATTTATTAGTCTTACATTTTTGAAAATCAAGATAATCTTTATAGAACAATTCATGTAATTTGCCTAAGTCTATGTTTCTTAAGATATTTGATTAGATTAATTTAAATTTAATTTAAATTTAAAAAATCATGTTAAAACTAAAAATACATTAATAATGAATTAAAATAGTGATCTTGCATTTTTAAGCATTAATTATTGTCAAAGTGTACTTAAAAATCAAATTAAACTAAAATCATTTTATGAATTATTCGATTTATGATTTATTTTTTTGGTCAAAACTTATTTGTCTTATGTTTAAAAATATATCTTAAAAAGTTTACAGTATTTTGTGTTAAAATTAGAAGTTATAGATTTACACATATCTTTACATTTACCTTAGATGACATTTAATGCAGCTTGACTATTACTTCTAAATACATATTACTAAATATGTGATAAGTTTAAATTCAAGCTTTTAAAAATATAAGCATGCATAATTTTATTGAAAAATTTAATAAAATTTAAAATTAGCAAATACTGACAACACGTGACTTATAGAAAATAATTATTCAAATTGTATTTATAATTTTAATATATACACTTAAAACACATCTTGACTGTCTAAATTTTTTGACTAAAATGTGATGTTTTAAATATAAGTTATTGTATATATTAAGAATTGAAAAAATAATATTTAGTAGAATTTCAATAAGAGCTTAATTATCATAACTAATTTTTTATCTATTAATAACAATTCTAATATCATAGTACATAAAAATTATTCTTTTTGATCCAAAATCATCTTGCTTTAAATAAACCTCTTCGAAATTTTATATTAACTCTAGTTAATAATCTTGCCATAAACAGAAAAAAATTTGGCAAAAATAAGATACAATTCTTAAGTTAATAAGAGTTATAATACTCATACTTATATCATTAACATAAACATGTACTAGTCTATAATTGGCATTGTTGCAATCATTAATAAGATAATTTTTGTCATGATATTTTTAAAGAGAATCCTTTTCAAAATCCAATGATTAATAAATATGTATGTATATATATATATATATATATATATGATTAAATTTAACTCATTATTATGTTTTTGAAAGTATGTGTATAGAATCATATTATAAAATATGATTTGCATGATTTGCTAAAATAATTTGAATTAGTAACACATTTGTTACTATAGTTCTTGGTTGTCGATAATAGAAATTTTAAATTAAAGATAGTTATAGTATAATCACTATTTTTTTAATTAAGATTTTCTACAAAAAAATCACATTCAATACATGATTTAAATTTGAACAAGTAGTCTACTATTAAATAATTTTAAAAAATACATGACTAGTAAAACTTTTGAGTTTCAAATATCACTTTTTCTTCATTAGTAAATTTTTGTTAATAAAGTTAAATATTTCATGATATTTATTTATAAAAAATTAAGTAAAAATTAAGTAAAAAATTAAATGATTTTGGATATTAAAACTATAAATATATATAAATAGCATGTTGAAAAGATTTGAATATTTTTTAAATATTAAAATTAGAATATTTGGTCTTTAAAACTTGTTTGAGTTTGTTTTAAACTAGAGACATCTTAACTAATTATTATCACCACTTCAAAAAAAATAAAAATAATGATCTTTATTTTAAAAAACATCTATATTATATATTTTGAAGTAATTAAGTTAAGTACATTTATTTTGTTGCAACTTATACAACATTTATAAAAAAATCAAAAAAAAATCAAAAAAAAAAAAAAAAAAAAAAAAAAAAACTAAACTAAATTAAATTACAAAAAAATGCTGATTTAATTTAAATTTTTGTAAAATTATCATAGTTTAATCTACACTAGTACAATTATTCTTACAATGATTTTAAAATATGATTATACAATTAAAAAATTTTACAGAAAATAATTTTTTTCTACATTATGTTTTTTGTGGTCTTTACGTCCTTAATGAAATGTATATTTTTTTATAAATAAAATTTAAATCTATTAATTATTAATATCATATATAATTGTAATCAATAAATAAATCAAAAGTTTTCTATATTTTTTTTAAATCTACAAAATCATAACAATTACATTAAAAGATGATGTAAAAAATTAAATATAAATGTATACATATATTTAAACATTGAAATCAAAACGAGTATAAGATGCACCAAAAATCTTAAGTAGGATTTTGACAAATTATATATATATATATATATATATATATATATATCAATTTTTATCACTATATCAATTATTATGTCTCTATATCAATTTTTATGTCTCTTTAATATATATATATATATATATATATATATTAATGAGACATAAAAATTGATATAGTGAACCATAGAATTACTTCCTTTATGTAACATTAAAAATATATATATATAAATCTTTGATAATAATGCAAACAGAAATTTAAAAATATTCTTATTATTCTAATTTTAAAATAGTTAATTTAATTTTTTAATAATGAAATTTAGTATAAAGTCAACAAATAAAATCATAATTGTGAGTTAATCTTCAATCCTATAGCTTGTTCTAATAAAATGTGATAGCCTGAGCTTTTTAAGAGTCAAAGCCAAATTAGAGGTTTATTTCAAAAGAATTAATATTTTTATTAAAAAAATAATATTATGATATATAAATATCAGTGGAGAATCAAAGAATAATTTATTCCTGTTATTAGATATTTAAAAGTTAAATTTGAATTCAAAACTTTAAAAACTTAAATTAAATCCCAGTATCAAAAAATTAAATTAAATTAAATTATAGAGTTGATGCATGCATTGTAAATTCCAGTAAGGTAATACTGATAAATAATAGTAATAAGCGTAATATTTATTTTACAATAATTTTTGAACATTACAGGTTATTAATCAACTTAAGCTTGATGAATTTATCATTATTCTCATGTTTGAGTAGACACATGTGAATAGAGCAATAACCAACAGGGCAGTTGAAGGTTTATCAGAGACATTTATTACTTACATAATTAAATTTAAATTTAGTAAATTTTAATTAAATCATTGAATTGTAGTTATATTTTGTAAAAATAAGAAACATAGAATCTCTGTGAGTCAAAGTATATCCTGAAATCATAAAAGTGAATTTTCTTGAAATGATCATTGCAGTATCCCAGATTGAAAGATATGACACATATCTATATTAAGAAAGAAATAAATAAATAAACTCATCATATTATGAGTAAACCCACTTCAAAAAAATTACTTCATAAAAATCCATAAAAATCCATAAATGATTTAAAAAGACATGTTCCAATCACAATCAAGTAATATCAAGCATAAAAACAAACCTCAAAAGTAATACAATTGCCAATAAAAAATGTGCTTTTATTCAGGACAATAATAACAACACATTTACATGAATACACATACACACATATTTATATATATATATATATATAGATCACACATTATCACACATTATCACACAACCAACAATGGATAACAATAACAGAAACACCAATTAACAAAGACTATGATGACCTCAACCACCACAAAGGCACATACACAACAATAATGAAATGGCACCAAGAGCGTCAAGAAATTATGAGAATCAACAAACCATCATGGGATGCGACAACCCAAGAAGCCAATCAAGATGGCCCAAAGGATCCAATGATTCATCAATTTTATTTGATCACACACATGATCCCTTCTTCCCCATTTATCCAGTTTGGAACATATGATTGATGAGCTCATGGACACCCCATTATGGGAGAATAAGGGGGTGTGTGTTGGCTCCCAAGCACAATTGGCACCCTTGCCCTAAAACCCACCTCACACTTTCAAGTCCATGGCAGTCAATATGCTAATAATAAACGATAGTTACCTGTAACTGAAGGTGAAAAAGAGAATTTAGGGCTTCGAATTAGGGTTTAGGGGGTTGCTGCACTGTCAGTTGATTTAGTTGGGTAACTCTTTAAGAGTGACACTTGGCTTACAAAATTGCATAGAAAAGTGAAGGTTAGAGCATCAGTGAACGTGATTCACTTTAGCTGCAACAGGTGTTGCAGCTCGAAGAAAGTGGGGGGGGGGAGGGCATTGCGTTGCAAAACAAAGTAGATGAAGATCAGATGGAGATAGAGTAAAGCAGGGCAATGGTGTCAGTTCTGGAGTAAGTGCTATTTCTGGCGTATAGCAGCGGTATGGATATGCTTCATTCAGCACCGTGAAAGGTGAGTATGGTGGAGGTGGAATCAGAAGAGGATTCGAGGGATGGTAACTATTGGCAGGTGCATGCTCGCTTGCTCGTCAAAGCTGTTTCCTCGACGCGGTGGACGTGATTTGCTACAAATCCGTGTGCTAACGTGAAGGAATGTTCTAGATATTATATTATCCGGAATGTGCTTATAATGAGGAGAAACTGTTTCAGGTTAATTTGTACATGGGTACAGTAGATAGTTAGGTATTGTGAGTGGTATTAAATTATTCGCACACGAAGAAGTTTGCGGTATGACTAGAATGAATGGAGCGTGCACTTCCTGTTAAAGTTGTTTGTGTGAAGAAAATTTGGAAATGTTAGGGCTTACATGTAAGCGACCTGGAACGGGAAGTGTTGTGGTAAGTAGGCAAAACAATCGACGGTGCAATGATAATTATGTGAAGCTACTTGCATCGGAAATTGTCATCACAAAGGCTGATCGCGAATTGCATGCACTAGAGTGTCATGCCTTCACTGTCTAGAAATCTCTAAATAACCCCACATTTCTAAGGGCAGTGCTTGGACCTAGAAGGAGTTTTGATGATGTCCCCACTACACCTTCGACGAACTCAGGACAGGCTATTGCAGATAATGACCCTCACACCCGTAAAAGGCAGGTTACAGTTCAGAAGAAGGGAACAAAACTGTTCTTAATTGCTAAGATTCGTATCAGCATGGAAGTGGAGGTCACAAAAATGTAACTCAGCGATAACTACCCACAAAAAATTATTTTTTTTAAAAATAAAATAAAAAATAAAAAAATCAACATAACACAACATCAACAAAAGTACGAATAGGGTGCATATACAGCTCAACTGAAGATGAGTTGATCGGTGATGTAGTCGCCCTGACTAGTTTCAGGGAGTTACCATAGGCCCCATAGCAACTCGACATCCACAGAGAACCATCAACAATGGTATCCACATTCGCTCTTCCTTCGCTCGCAAAGGAGCGGCCTCCTAAAGCCCCTACCTGAGTCACCACCCCAGAACTAAGGGTGAAAATCTCCTGTAACTAGACACAAGCCTGTGTACAATTGTATAAATGGGTCTGATGTCGGTGCCCTTTGTGGCACCCACCGAGGATATGGTTTGTTGGTGTTTGAGTTGGGAGCTCATGACATGAATACTTGGACGCTGGCATTCTTGGGTGTGCGGCAAAGGGGGCAAGCGTGAAGCTGGCCCTCGCAATCCTGACACAAGCACAGATGCCGGCATGGCAGAAGGAGCATGGAGACATCATTGCATCTGCACACCCTGCAAGTGCGCTGCTCACGAAGCTCCTTGTTTTCATTGAAGGTTCGAGTATGAGCATCGTTGATATTATCAACATAAGACGAGGCACAGTCATCCGCTTCACTGTCTCCACACCCTTCTTTACTTTGATTTAGGCTCAAGGGAAACTGAGCTTGCTGCTGAGCATGTTGCAAATTGGACCTCAAGATGCTCACCATAGATTCCATCTCCCGAGCCTTAGTTTGCCAGTGATGCAGTTCAGCATTGAACTGTGTGTACCGCTTCATCAAGTCTTGATTATGGCGCTTCACCTTATCCATTTCAGCATCCTTCTCTCGCAGTCTACTAGCGAATCCTTCCTCCATTGTTGCAACAAGATGGCGAGAGTACCGCTGTCTTTTCTCTTCGAAAAAAGACTTGAGCTGGTCATTCTGAGAGAGTCAAAGCAGAACAAATGAAGAAGATTAAGTTATCGGCCAGAATTACGCTTATTACTTAATTAATTGAGAGGTCCCATTACACACACAAATAGAGTAGCAGAAACAAAATTATTGTACATTGCGCTGCTAGGTGGAGTGCAGCATGACTGTGGGATGATTACCTGAATCTTTAGAAGTTGCTCAATTTCATCGTCTCTATCTTGCTGCAAAGGTGCAGCGAGACCGTCGGGCATGTTGGAGGCGAAGTTCTTCGTTACCTCGACTCTCCCGCTCGTGGAAACTGGAGAAGTAGAGCGCAGCCGATCATCCTCGAAGGTAAGCCGCAAACCTGTCGAAACACCTGTAGATTGAGGGTTAACCACAGATCCGGGGCCAGTCTGGGGGAAGTCGGACACGATCAATGTCTGTGGACATTGCTGTTGCCATTGACTGCGTAGGTCGTCTCCTTCTCGTGCCCTCTTGCGGGAATTCGAGAGAGGAACAGCAGCAATCTCTTTGTCGCCGCCGTTCAGTGATGAATCCAGCTGCAGCGTGTAACCTTGCCGCCCACCTACTACTGCAAAACCGAGTACATCCGATACTTAAGTGAGCCCCAATCTCTCGAACGTTCATCTGTGAAAAAGAGGCTGATTCGGGGCAGGTAAATTTAAAGGGTTTTAGTGTCTAAAATCTCACATTGGTTGAACAGGCGATAACGATTCGATCCGGTCACTACAGGGGACGGATTCTGGAACTTCCCGAAATATGAGCTCTGATTGAGCCCTGCCGCCAAGAAGGTGCGATGATCTTCATTCCCACCAGCAGCTCCAGACCTGATCCAAATCAGAGAACAAAATCAGCTTGATCATCCGGAACAAGCCCCTCCGCATGAAAAAAGGCTACCAACAGCCACAATGAAAGTTGAGTTTCCACGCCCGCTGTGGCGAAAGCCGCTCAGAATGTAGAATCGGTCTATACCTGTTGCTTCCATCGGGAAGAACGACGTTAGCCGGATACTGTGATTGCACTGCCATTGCAAATGCCTGTCCGCGTATTCACAAATCCCAACTTCAGTTACCAATCTAGATGCCTTAACTCACTTCTGAGGATACGGTGTACAGCGTCAATCCTATCCCCACGTCCTTGATATGTAAGGACCTGAGGCTCGTCCTACCAATAGCTGGTTACGGAACACTGCTGTGACGAAAGGTTCCCTGTTTGTGTGCGTAATTCGCGACTAATCACATCACATCCCTCCGCCGGAGAAGTACTGGGACGTCAAAAGACCTTGTTGAAAGTGTGATCCAGGTAAGGATGGCTTGGTGGAGATCTTGGCGAGCAAGTAGTAATACCCGGAGGAAAGGTGCATATAGTTGAGGAACTCAAAACACCCCCGGAATTGAGAGGTATGGGGAAGGTAGACAGAAAGGCATGGCAGAAACTACAGCACCATCGGTACCAGAGGAGAATAAGAGCGACAGACGGCTGATAATTGCAGAGGGCAGGCGGGGAGACAGAAGAGGAACGGCGTGTAATGATAAAACATGACCAGTGGGATTCATTTCTTTCCGCAGTGAAATTAGCAGGATGCGCACAACATCTTGGCCTGGCACCCCATCTCTCTCTCTCTCTCTCTCTCTCTCTCACTCCCTCTTTCTCTGTCTGTCTGTCTATCTGTCTCGCTCTGTATCCCTTTCTCAGGTCGACACAAGTACAAGCCCCATCGTCATCCTCATCACTCGTTGGCTCTCGTCACCCACTTGTTCTACGACTTCTACCCACTCCCACTCAAGTTTCAACCTTGTTGAAATCGTCAGGCATCAACAGCAAGACAGCTTCATGATCACGTTCATTCACTCATTCACTCACTCACTCAAACACTCACTCACTCACTCGTTCGATTGCTCGATGCTTGACCACCATGAAAGAAGCAACATGATTTCATATGTTCTCCTCTCTGGCTCGCTCTCTTCTAGCTCTCTTTCTCTCACTCACTCACGCACTCTTTCTCCCCACTTCATCCGCGCCTCACTTTGTCCGTTCCCCCATCCGCCCTCTTTGTCACATTCCACGAAAAGGTCCCCGCGATGCCTGGCCTCCTCCCGGTCTGACTAACATTAACGCATGTGCTAATTCTCCCCCTCTAGAATCAATCCCTGACACCCGACGACAGTGACAGTGTGTGTGTGTGTGCGAGATTGTTGAAAATTGGATGTACGCTCCAAGCCCCCTACCCCCACCCGACGACTGCTGGGCACTGGGCCCTGAAGGGTGTGTGTGTGATGACAGAGAGGGAATTTCTATCCCAGTCAATGAGCTCCCAGATAGAAACTACTCACAAATTCATACGCAAACTAGTTGACCCCACCTCCTTCCTTCACCCCGTTCATTTCATTCATTTCTTCCTTCCATTCCCCGCCCTCCCTCGATCCTCCTCGATCCTCCTCGATCCTCATTCTCCCCTTCCACCGGCCGACGGCGGCCTCGCCTGTCTCCCTGCCTGGCCACCTACCTTCGCCCCACCTACCGCGAGGGTTCCTGTTTCACTGCTGATGGAGCGAGCGAGCGATCGAGAGGGCGGGCGGGCAGGCGACGAAGTAGGGGGAGCCGCGCATTGACGACGCTGGCCGAGCGGGGAGCCCACCCCCGGCGCTACACTAGGGTCTGCCTGCCTCAACCTGCGTATTACCGGTCCCACCATACGGCCACGTTCACTCGCCCCCTCCCTGACGTTCGCTCTATTGATGCGTCTAGGGTTCGAATCCAAGCTCCGTTCTAACTGAAAAGTACCTTCCCCTTCTGTAAATTTCAATGAGTTAGAATATTGCATAAGGGTAATCCAAAGGTAACCATCAAAATATATGGATGGTTTTTGTAATGTTACTTTAATTTCTTTGATCCAAAGATATATATATATATATATATATATATATATGCACACACACACACACACAGTTACAGCATCAAATAACTACAGTGGATAATAAAGTTCATTGTGCAAAGACTTTCTATCAGAATAATTATGTGTGCAGAAAGATGGTGTAAGATTTTAGTTCATTTTGGTATGTTCTTATTCTTCTCATTCACATGGGCATGCAATCAATGTCAGAGTTTATTTCTTGTTAAATATTTTTCACTTTTAAGGGTCTGTCTTATTACCTTCATCCCTAAGAACCATGTGTTGGAAGCAACACTCCTTTTTGGTGGATGTAAACCAGATTGTCAAATCCACATCATCCTTGATGGGGCTATATCACTCAGCTGCCCAAATGGCTCCAAATAATTCCATGTTGAATTTTGTTGCAGTCAAATGGCATGAGAACAACCTCTCTCTTTAGGAAAGCTTAAATTTAAGTAGAAGTCGATATTTTTGTTCCACATAAAACCCAAGTGAACCCTAAATTTAGATTCCATGTTATTGTAGGCACATCACTGTCATGCTTGCCACTATTTTAAAACAGTAACAGTGAATTTGCCTTGTGTTTCACATTTACACAACAATAACAACAACAATGACAACACAAGTGGAGCATCTAATCAACAACAATGACAACACTAGTGGAGCATCCAATCAACCCAGTAGAATTAAAACCTAAAAAAGTATTTTACTTATTCTTGCTGTATTCAAGCATCCTTCTTTGTCCTCCACAATTCACTCCATGGCATGTGACAACGTATGCCACAAGTCAAAAAAGTGTGTTCCCCACTCTAACACATGAAAACCAAGGGGCTTGTATCATGCAACCTACACATCTCAAACCCCCTTTTCTAACCTAATCAGGCTCAACTTTAGGCTAACCTCAACCTTATTGCTATAAAGGGAAAAGAGACTTTGGGATGGCAAGTTGTTAGGCAGTGAATGAAGAAGTGGTTGGGGGCTCATAAGATAGGAAAAGCATGGGCAGCTTGTAGGGAGGAAGAGAGGTCAAAGGAGGGTTGCTGGCAAAACAGTATGGGACAATGGAGGACTCACCACTTATGTGTGATCAGCTGAGAGATAAGCTTCCTGTGGTGACTCTCTTGCAAACAAAGAAAAAAAGGGGCTTTGGCACTAGGGTGTTGCTTTCATTGCCTCTGCTTGGTTTGGCATGTTCTCAACAAAACAAATAAAAAAAAACCAGTCTAAACTGACTCTTCCGCACTTCTAGCCTCCTGGTACTCTAACCACTGTGTAATGTGTGTTTTTTTTTTTTTTTTTTTTTTTTTTTTTTTTTGCTACTATTGGAGGTGTTCTTATTTATAAAGATATGGTTTTTGAGTCTTGGGTTTTGGGTTTTACCATGCAATACCGGACTATCACGGAATGGTTTCAGGGAGAGTCGTCGCTGAGCCCCGATGGGTCCTCCATCTCCGCCTCATGGTGTCTGGCGACCAGAGCAGAAGCAGCAGCCGATGAGCTGGGTGATGCGAGAGACCCACAGAAGCAGGCACTCGCCGCTGCAGAATGATGACCACGTGTAAGGGCGAAGGCGGAGACATGGCTGCCAGCGCAGCCCACGCCGAAGCGCAGGCCCCACAAGCTCAGCAACGGTCATAAATAAGAAACCGTGTGGAGAGCAGGGGAGCTTGTTAAGGATATTTTCTTCCTAGAGCTTGGAAATCTTTACCCCATGGTTTACTTTCGCCTGCTTTGGAAGGTGGAAATAGTCAGATTCAAACTTCCTGGTTTCAAATAAAGGTTTGGTGGTAACTTAGGGTTGAGGGTAACGGTGATAAATGAGACTGAATTAACTGGATTGTCCCACAAGTCACTACATTCAATCCCTTCTGTTTCCAGGCAGCGTGAAGTAGGCAATCATGGAAAGTTGCAGGCGAGTAGGATTTCGGCTCCTACTTTAACCCAAGCCACCATCGTCCTTTCAAGCGTCGCTTTGTCTCTCACTCTCACTCGGTCTCTCCCTCCCTCCGAGTTTGAATAATGATGGGATTCCAGGTTAGGTAACTTGATTCGGCATTAAAATAAGGGGGGTTTGCTATTTGTTTAAAACAGTGAAGCCCTGTAATGGCTTTGCATGTCTACTTTCAGAGATTGGAGTGTGCTACTCAAGCAATGACAGAAAAGTCCTTGGGCTACGGGCACTCGCATTAATAAACAGGGTAGGTGATGGCTTTGTTGTCCACCTAATTTGAAAGGAAAACGGAGATTTTCTCAGTAATAGTTGTGCACCCAATCCCATCTTTTTGAATGTGGCTGGCTATAAGTCCCTGCACCAGATCTAGATATATCTTTTCAACATTTAGTAACAAACAGATCACTCTTTTCCCTGAAATGACTTTGGTTAATTATCCATTAAATGGAGTCTGATGAAAAAGGGGCTGCGAAACGGTGGGATGGAAGAAGAACAAAAATAAAAATACACTACACGGACCTTGGGCGATAGCTCACAGAGTTGGCGAAGAGCATGTGGGCATGATCAGGGTGCAGCATGACCCCTGTAACTCATGACCACGTCAGGAACGCAGTGCAGGTTTCATTGGAATTTCTGCAACAAGTGGCCTCGCATGCGTGAGCATTCAATCGACTCGGGCAAAACCAGCGTGTAGCAACATTATGAAGGATGTATAACTTGGGAAAAAAACAACCCATTAAAAGGGGGAGATTTTTCCGAATGGCAGTGTTTTCCAAGTTACTAGATCGTCAGGATTTTTTTTGACAATTAGAATTCAATTGCATTGACAACTTCTGTTCGTCCCCATGTTACACTTGTCCAGCGACTGCGACGCCTGCTACCTCCTGGCTTCCTGCTGCGCTCCTCCACAGGTCAAGCAGCGTAAACGTAAGGCGCTCATTCTTCATAGATTGTTTTTTACTGAAACAGGATGAACCCGCGTGTGAAGAGTAAAACACAGGTTTTAAAAAATATCTTTATCCCAGAAACAGGATATCCTCCCTGGGACAAATTTAAGCACATGCGAAAGTGAGGGAAAGTTCCAGAGCAGGGTAAACTCTGTGGGTCTGTTTGCAAGTCCACGGTATGATCCGGTCATCACTCGGTCCACATGAGCTCAACAGAATCGAAGGGGGTTGCGTTCACGCACACAAAAGCATGCAGGATTATTCAGCCAACACGGCCTAGTCCAATACGAGGCAACTCATGGAGAAGCAACCAGGTGAGCAAGATAACTTCTTGTGAGAAAACCATAAAAAAATAAAACCCCAAAATAAAACCTTAGATTATACCCCAGAAATGCAACGAAGTCATCGGGGAGGGGGGAGAAAAGATAAAGATTAAAAAAGAA